ATATATATATATATATACACGTGTGCCCATAACGCCCCTAATTGGAGTGAATCTGCGGGCTCTCTCTTGGTCATTCTCATTCTCGCCGCCTCGGGGGGGCCATACTGCGGGATCCGGCCGAGCGAGCGGATACTCTTTGAACTCTACCCGCAGAAAAGGACGAGAATGCGGAAAATTTGCCCTTTCTCGAGGGAGATTTTTCACGACTCTCGTATACATGTAGAATATTGTTCGTCGCCTCGGGATTTTCGTTCCTATTGTATATTGTCGGGTGTGTAAATCTTTGCTCCTGCTGTTGCTCACCCTTTACTTGTATACATATACATCATTCTTACGGGTACATGTATATGATTCGGCTGTCCCTCTTGAAGGGCGTGTGGAGGAATTCCGTTTTCCCTTGTACTTTTTAATTGGTTGTAAACTGTTGTACCACCTGCAACACCACCTATAAACATATATCTCTTTTAGACGGTCAACTATACGGGTAGTCGTACAGGGTATATTTATACTCGATTCCTTAACCATTACTTTTAATGCTATGGACTCTTATTCTCGCAATTCGTATACGTAATTATTTCAAATTACAAAGGGTCATCGTTTTCCACAGAAACGCATTGCGATAATCTCTAAATGTAAGCTAAACTGAGAAAAATAAAAGATTTATATATACATCAGTTCTTACACGGTACAATTATAGGTGACATACCGATTTTTTGTAAACTACTCCCAACAACGCTCCGACGAAACTATGCCGGTAATATGTGCACACGCACTTGTCGCAGAGAGTACACCCGTATATACACCTCTACGTGCACACACACCTATACTGGCACTAAAATATAAAGTTACGTGTATGCGCACGGTATATATATACCGAGGTCTGCGTACGTCGTGCATGTATACACCGTTATCAGATGACGCACACGTCCAAGGCGAAGATAGCACGCCAATTACAATAAATTCCAGGGCTCGCGTTTCAAGTGTATCTAAGCCGTTCGCTCTCGCGCGATACCTATCTTCTCCTCCTCTCTCTCGCTCCGTGTACCTGAAAGGCCGTGCTCACGCCAAGCTAAAAAAAAGAAACCAGTCGCAATGAGCGTACAGGCCGGAAAAATGTGGTCCCTGTGTAACAGTGAATCTATAGACTGATGCGCACCAACAGCCACTTTTGTACCGATCTTTGCCGATTTTTTCGATTTTACCCGACATCCTTTGAGGTTTTTTGGCTATTATAGTATAGAGAAGACTGTACTAGGCTTTCCACAACTGTCGCCATGCCGCACTAACGATGCGTGCACGGAATCAAGAGAGGCGGATGAAATGAATGGAATTTTATTCCGAAAAAAAAAAAAGAGTGCTGCAAAGCGGGAAGTCGGCTCTCGTGCGTCTTCGATCTGACTCGGGAGATTCCGGTGTAGATCTCTTTCTCTTCCACATACACGTGCATGTCTTTATGGTGTATATACACATTGTACCCACACCTCGAACCATCATGGATCAGCCACCACACTACAACCGCCTTCACCACGACGACGATGAACCGAGCGTGTGTATTTTGTAAACGACTACCTAAGGATGCCGAGACTTGTCCAAAAGAAAGAGAGCCATTCATCTGTACACCTTTACTATATCTCTCGATTATTTTCTCAATCGTCCGAGCGACAGAGATGTATGTATGATTTATCCCAACGAGGACGCTGCGGATAATGAAATTTATACCGATTTCTGGATTCGGGACAGTAACACACTTGCATCGGTCTACTCGAAGGGATCGAGGGGGAAAAAACCATAGAAATCGATCGGCGATCCGATGCTTGGTTCGTCTGATGCTGCATACCGATCTTTGCCGATCTTTGCTGAAAAAAAAGGGGGGAACTCGCGCGTTAATTCAATCCAGTTGAGACGCTTGATTAAAAGAAAATGTGTGTAATGTGTGCAAAAACCGGTAGGAGCAAAGAGAGCGGAGCACGATTTTTCTTATCCGCGCATCTGTCGGGAAATCAAAAGGTGAAAAGCGAGCGATCATCGGTGAAAATCCACGAGCCTATATCTGTACAAGGTGCTGGATATGAGAGTGGATAATGTATACCTATACGTGCAGAGAAAGAGAGCCAGGATCGAGTTTGAGTAGCGCCTCCGCCAGTCCGCCGCTACTGCTCCAAAAGGAGTTTGTGTGCGAGGGTGTGTACATGTATTTGTGTAACCGATACAGACATCCACAAAAGGTAGGTATAGGCATATGGGCGAATGGAGAGAGAAAAAGAAGGGCGAGCAGGGGGAAAGAGGGAAGAGCGTGTGCGGGGGAGAGAGAGAAGCAGCAGCAGATGCATTCGCCGTGTAGGTATACGCCATACACACCATTTTACACGAGAGAACACAAAACAGAGGTATATAAGGGTATAGACATGGAGAGGAGGAGGCGGTCGTCGTAGTCGCCGCCGCCGCCGTCGTTGTTCGGTCGTCGTGGGGCGCAGCGCAGCAGCCTGTGCCTGCAGAGCGAACACCTCACCGTACTTACCGATCCCCTCGCGTCAGTTGGCTTTTGGTCGTTCCAGCGCTCGCGCGCCGCCGCATACAAACACAAATACAATCCTACACACCCACACACACAAACTTTTTTAACTCTTCGAGTGTGTCGTTACTTTACATTTTTCTCCTGCAAGCCTACAAGTCATAGCTGCTCCCTTTTTTTTTTTTTTTTATTTATTTTTGGTTTCTTTTCGCTCTTGCCCTTTGCCTGTGTTGTCATCGAGGGACTTTGGTGGTGTGATTTTAATTCATCCGCACTCCTACTGCCAGGGTAAACTGCAGTGCCTTAAAGAAGCGAATGAAAAGCTGTTCTCGAAGTGAGAAAAGAGCCGCATAGAGTCATGACTCCTCCAGTGCTCCGATAAAACGGTGCTTGTCCGATCGAATACCTGCATACGAGGAGAAAATGCAGCAGTGACCGATGACAGATAGGAGCGAGGGTACCCTGTGGTAAAGGAGTATACATTCCTGGTGGAGTACACCTACGATGCGTGCGCGGAATGATTTCGGCCCAAGTAGGTCGTCGTCGTCGTCGTCGCAGTCGTCGCATTTGTCTTGTTCATTGCTGCGGCTACTTCAGACAGCCGAGATGCAGCTGCAACAGCAGCGAACTGCAGCAGATAACGATTTTTTCTTCCTCAAGCAGCAGCAGCAGCAGCACTAATCATCCCAGGGGACGATGTCGATATCCGCGAGCCTACTCGTAAGCAACGGCCGTGGGCCGGATTACTATTTTGTAGCAGTAGCATCGTCATCGAGAAGCCTGATAGCGTTATCCTAGCCATAATTAGGACCTGAAACACACATACACATACACACACACACACACATTTACGCGCATTAAAGTTGTGATTATCATTATTATTCCCTCTTACCATTACCTATCGTGCGTGTTCGAGTACATAACTATTTATAATACGTTTGTACCAGAAGTGTGTGCTCCCGTTCTCTCCTGGAGTGTGTCCCCCCAGGTTGTTGTCCAGCAGCAGCAGCAGCAGCGTATCATAACCTTCAAAGGAGAACGCGCGAGGCAAAGAATTTCCTATCCTCATCGCATTATCGCAAGCTCGTGCTTACTTCTGCAAGAAACCACAATCAGTTGATGAGTTATCATTAAAAATCGGTATGTGCGTTGTATTGGCATAAGAACATATATATATATATATATATATAGACGTATATAGCTTTTAAAAAATTATCGCGTTTCTTTTTTTTTTTTTTTTTTTTTTTTTTGAATTTTTTATTTTTACCATCGGCTCTTTGTGTCGGTTAAATTGAAAATGTTGGGGAGAGATGCTGGACGATGCTTCATCGGAGCTCTGTGTTTTATTCGAAAATAATGTTTTTTTTTTTTTTTTTTAACAAACAAAGTTGCGAAGGCCAAAATTGCAGATCTTTTTTATTAACATCTCTATGTTTGCAAAACAATTTTTGTTCTAAATGAATACGTAATGAAATTTATTTGCCTCTGCTGACGTATTGTCATCCGATTTTCAAGATTAATATGTGGTAAAAAATATTATATATCTCTAAGAGACATGATCGTAGTATGGATTTTTTTCAAAGGGGCTTTTATTATTGTCACGAGTCGATGCTTAATGCCATAATCAATACGAGTTCATTTCGTTTTCTTAAGGTAAAAAAGTAAAAAATATTTAAAAACTTACGTTATTTATTTTTATTAAAAGGTGATGAAGACATTTCGAAGCCAAGTACAAATTTCAAAATTTTTTCGATTTTATTTACAGGATTTTAACGGTTAAAGTGATATTGTTATCCACTAAGCCAACATTGTTCAGCTTAACGTTGCGACCAATAGATGTCGGGGGACACCTTTATCGTTGGGTTTGCTTGTCTACAGACCGTAAGAATTCAATTATCAGGAATTCCTTCAAACTTTTAAAGTGCATTCATTACAAAGTGTCATCTTATTCTTACAAAAAATTACAGTATTTTATCATTACAATTGACAATACCGATACCATATGATAAAGTTTTGGATTATGAGTGATGCATTTTCATTGTTTTAAACGAATGCCTTTTAAATTTGAATTTAAAAAACTATGTTGTAATCTTGACATAATTGTATTATACAATGTACTTCCGCGTTCTCGAACGTGATTCGAACGATTAGCTCACGCGTTATTATTACGCCGATGAAGCTTGCTGGTTCTTAGCTAGGTGATTTTCACCCGCAGCGCTAATACGATTTGGAAATCTACGGTTCGCTAAACGGAGTTAGCATGTTTGCATTTAGAAATCGATCGAGTTACTTTTTTTTTTCTTTTTTTTTTTTTTTTTTTTTTTTTTTTTTTTTTTTTTTTTTTTTTTCCTTCAATTTCTCAAAGGGAAGCCTCACCTGCACGGATAGGGGTACATTTGCTTGTTGTTGCGAGCACTGTAAGGCGAGTACTTGTCGAGCAGCCAGATCATGATGCCCGTGAGGGTGAGCGCCCCGACGNTATATATAGACGTATATAGAGAGGCACAGATAGGCTCTTGCAGCTAGTGTGTCAAGTGTGTCGTCGCCGTGAAGTTCAGTGGTGTATATAACTCTCGGGGATTCTGCTCCGACTGATACTGTATACCTTCAAGAGTACTATCATTATCCCATAAGGGAAGACGAGGAGAGAGGTGTGTATATACGTGTATGCAGTGCGTGTATAACAAGCTGACAGGAGCATCAGCATCCTCTTTCCCCCACTCTTGCGTGCTGTTCTTGCCTTGTTGTTTTTCTCTTCCTCTTCAGTGACAATCGCACGCAAGCTCGCAAAATCATCCGTACCTACAACATTTCGCGAGAAAAAAAGAGTGATCAGAAAAATTACCAAGAAAAGAGTCAGGAAAAAAAAAAAAAAGTGCGAGGTAAAATTATACACACGGTGCATCTACATCCTAATAATCATACACTTATCCTGCCAGACTAGCGAGTAGAGTGTTCACGTTCGTCCTATCCTCTGTCTGTCCTGTGACTCTTCGTCGTCATCGTCTGGTTGATATTTAAGTATACCTGTATAGCACTTTGTGTGCTCGGTTCAGTGCGACAGAGAGAACAAGACGTGGTGGGAAGAGAGGAAGAATTAGAAGACGACGAGAAAAGGAGCCAGGAAGCAGGAGGAGGAAAAAAAAAAGAAGCTTTCGGGCAGCAGCAACGGCGCGCCTCGCATGAACACTCCTCTCGAAGGAAGAGACGTGGTGAAGAAGACAAAAGATTAAAAAAAAAGAAGAATAAAAGATTCCACGTCTCTTTTTTAGCTGCACAGGTATACATCGAGCACAGATCTACCTCGACGTCAATTATTATCGTGAATCTGATACTGAACAAACTTACCTCCTCTTTTTGTCTGTTTGCCGATTGTTTAAACAAGTCGATGGACAGAGGCCAGTGTGTACACTGATCGTTAACAAATAACTATACAGCCGATAAACCGGTAGTCACCAGGTACTTGTAGGTGGTTCACTTAAGTGTACGTTCAACGCGTTTACCGTGTGACAGACAGAAAGAAAGTAAGGACAGAGAGTGAGAATATCGGTATAGAGTTGAGGTTAGGTTGTTTGTTGCGTGCGCGTTTCGTCGAGAGAAAGGCTGCTTAAGTGATAGAGGATAGAGGAGAGGCTGCCGAGCGCGACCATCACGAGTAGGTTGTACATGCAAGCAGTACTGCACGTCGTGCCAGCAACCTGGAGCAGCTAATAATTGGAGAGAAGCTGCAGCCAAGAAGACGACGACGACGTAAGGACGTTGTAGTCGAGAACGACGTTAACAACGAACAGCACGACGACGGCGTTGGCACATCAGAGGACAGCAGTAGCAGCAGCCCGATGCCGATCGACAACGTCGTGGTTGTCAGTAAAAGTCGTCGTGGGAGGAGCAGCAGCAGTGGCTATAACCATCACCAGGTCGCCGACGCCGAGACGCCGGCAGCGACTACTACTGCAGTTATCAAAGCTCCCTGCAGCGTTCCGTCTTCGTCAGCGGCGGCAGCGGCGCCGTCAACATCACCGGCCACTGCTGCACGTATGCTGAACTTCCTCGCCAGACTGTCAGGTTAGTACTGTTTGTTTTCTTTCTTACTATCCCTACGATTATATACCTTTACATTGTTACCTTTTATATTATTATTATTATTATTATTATTATTATTATTATTATTATTATTATTATATCTGTCTATGTACACTTACATTACACGTTAATTGTCATAATAACATGATGTATGTATGTGTGCGTGTATGTATACATGTGTCTATAAATTTTGTGTGCTGTGTGTATACGATACGATGTTATAACTCTTGATCATCCCTTTGCCCTTTCCTGCATCTCGGGCCGATTGTTTGATCTATTTTTTTTTCCTACCACCTTATTTATCACAGCTATAACATACATTAGGGGTTGTTCTCCAATTTTTTTTTTTTTTTTTTTTTTTTTTCATCGCAAGGTGTGCCCTTTTTTAAGGGAAATTGCTACAATCATGTACGCACTTGGTTGATTAGTACTTGTATTAATTGTTGATGCACTTGTTTGCATAACTAACGGTATCAGGGGGACAGTAAGTTGTACGCATAAACATTATAAACGTTTGTGCTGTTTTGCGTGTGCACGGGTGCGTGTGACGATTTTCAAAGGTTCACTGCACGGAGGCCGCAGGATTTACCCTTTTAGTCGCCATGACGACGATAAAAATGGGTGTTACGAAACTTTGCGCGTTGCGCCGCCTCGTGACACTTTTATCGTAATAATTCCATTTGTCGTCGACATCATTATCATTATTATTGTTACTTTGCTTTATTTCCTTGACACAACGTGGCGTATGCTGATATTCGGAGAGGGTGGGTGGTTGAGATTTACGATTTCAGTCGTATGGTTGCGTTCTTTTTTTTTTTCTTCCTTTATCGTTGCCTTTCTGGGAATTGGCCGCAGAGGGGCAGGATCGATCGGCCGGCGCGACGCCGCGGCGGTTTCAAACCACGCGACCCCCCAACATCTTATGGGCATGCCTCCACCACATAGAGTCACACACACCGATTTGCAATTATTCCGTCATATATATATAGGTATAATTCCAAAATCACTTGGCCGCTACTCGTGGTGTCACTATATAATTATAATCTTCGACCCCCAAAAATTTCAAGTACACCTACTTACAGCCGTCGCACGTGTGCGCCCCATCAATCCGAAACAACGCGAAGAAGGGGTTGCTCCTCCCGTGGCTCGCGTGCATATATATTATGCTGTACTTGTCCATACGGCGTTTAAGGGTTGCCCCCACGTAATACGCGCCGTAGCCGTTATACACACACAACGCGGAAAGGCGTGAAGTACACGAGACGACATCCGTTAAATGCTGCACGTGAATTGAGTTAGTAAGTATAAATAATATGCCCAAGGGAGGGAAAAACTTGGAGGATGATGATTCTTGGTCCGGCGCCCCTGGTGCCTTATGTACACAGTACACACACACACACACTGGTCTCCCCTGTGAGTAAAAATACACCGGGAGAGTGTTCTCCCCCCTTCATTTTTCCTGACACACTTCTTCCAGACGCTTGTCTGTGGCGTTTTGTACATGCTGTGCATGCGCGGCTTGTAATATATACGTTACACGCTTCCGCCTTCCGATTATACCCTCGCTCGGGAGGAAAAAGTACCTCTCTCTGGACCCATGGACCGAAAATATATGAGTAAATTGATTGAAAAAGCAAAAACCAAGAAGGTATAAGTATACATATATATATAACATCACTTGGGGGTTTTAAATGAAAATTAAAGTAGGTACATATATATATATATATATATATATAATGTATGGGTGAGCGAGCGCGTGCGAGTCTTCTCGCGAAATCGAATAACGAGACGACGATGAGGAGGAGGAGAAGGAGGAGGAGGAGAAAGCGAACCACATAGCCGGGCGCATGAATATGCATGAGGCGGCAAAGAGTCAGAGCTTGAACAGAGAGAGTATTGCTGGTGTGTGTGTGTACGATGTGCTTAATGTATATAACCCGTCGAGGATAAATGTAAATGCAAATGTGTGAGTGCGGTGCGTTATTGTGCAATTTCGATTCGTGGGTGGGCGGTGGCCGCGGATATTAACCCGTTCCCCCCTTGCCACGTGTGTGTGTGTGTGTGTGTGTGTGTGTGTGTACACTCGCGTTGTTACTACTACTTACATAGAGAGAGGGTTAGTGTCGCCAGCGTGTGTATATTGTATACCCTATATATGTATGCGCGCATAGGTATACCATGTAGTAAAAAAGGGTGGAGTGGTTGGTGTGTGGAGGTGCCGAGACGGGAGAAACCTGAAAAGTCGTCGTCTCGGTCTCGTTGTGCATCGCGTACAGGTATACTTATACAGGTACACCTCATGCGCGTACATATATACACCGGTGTAATGCAAGTATACGTGTATACGTACATTATATTATATTACGAACTTGGCGTTGGCTGCAGCGGCGACAAATCGCGCAAGGTCTTTTATATATATACACACACTGACACCTATACACGTACATAATATTATGATACATCATGTATTTAAACAAGATATATACATACATATATGCGCGCGTGTGTGTGTAATGTGCACGGACGCGCTCGTTAAAGCTCAGCCTAGCTGAATGTTATTCATTGCCTTTTTTAGGATTTACGAGGCCTTGTGCTTCTGCGACACTTGGCCGAGGCCCTAGCTCGGGTTATAACTTAACATCCCGATCGATCATTGCGGCTGAATAATTTACCGTCCGCAGCGCCAGTGTTGCCCGTAAACCTTACACTCGTGCTTTTTTGTACGTACCTGTACAATTTAAAAAAAAAAAAAAAAAAAATTGCCGAACGCTTGTGTATATTTGTATGTATATGTGTACATTATTTTGGAACGCCACCGATATCGTTAAACGTTGTACGTGTGCTCTCTTGACAAGCCATCTATTCCCCCGTGTGGGGTATATATATATAGGGCTAAATTAAACGAGCCAGACACGGCAGCCTCGTTAATTCATCGGGTGTGTGCCTCCTATGGGCACCGCGGGGATATAACGCCCTCGGAACGACTATACGTGAGTGGTCACACGACGCGCATCTCAGAAAAGCGCGTGATCGGCGCGACTAATTAAGGGTCCTCTGCACACAAAGTCGGGATTACCTATATACATGTTTGTATACGAGGATGGAGAAACAAAAATAAGATCGCAGGACCATTAGGCCCTTCCTCCCCCTGTTCCTTATCTCCCCCTCCCCTTTCTTGGTCGTTGCTCGCGTAACGATCGGCTGCGTGCTCCCCGATATAATTTATACAGGGGTCCGATGTCCCAAGTGTGTGTGTATGCAGTGGGTGCAGGGCGAGGATCAATGAGTAATGATTTTTCTCGATCGGCGGTACCATTTTGCAGCTGCAGTTATATTGAAGTATACGCTTGTGATTATGGGTGGGAGTTGGTGCGGGTGTTTATAGCTCGCGCTCGGCGTACCTGCAGTGCACACTTCAAGGATCCTCGACGACAAATCGGCGTCCGACTGACGTCATTCGCGAGCTACGCCGCGCTGTACGTATTTTATGTGTGTATATATATGCGCTTGATTTGAAGAAATAATTGATAGCCATCAGGTGCGAGAGATCGGCCACTGGAGAAAGAGATAGAAAAGTACTTTTTCTCTTCTTTTCTCCTTCGTCGTCGGGCACGGAGTGTAGCAATGTTTTTCAAGTGATATGACGAACCCGTCCAAATAGTGGTTATATATAAATATATAGGTATCTTCTTTTTCGCCGACGAAGAGGAGTCACCGTCGCGGCAAAGTCGAGGTTTTTTTTTTTTTTTTTATCGCTCCGTATCTTGAGATTAAATATTTCCATCGCGATATGATGCCGATTCAATTTGGATCGAGGTTTTTTTCTTTTCGCGGCTTATTCCTCCGTTGATCGATGTGCCTTTTTTTATCTTTGTTTCCTTTGGTTTGTTATTACTATATGCGCGCTTCATTGGATTCAGATGTACAGATTGCCTAGTCTGAAAGCCAAATAACGCGTCTTGTTTTTCTGTTTTGTCGTGTGCTTTTCGTCGAGTTTTCGTGTGAAAAATCATACTAGAATTAAAACAATAGATTGCCGATCTTATACAGCATTTCGCTGTTATATGGATTAAAACGTCTGCTAAAATATTCATTGTGTTTGCTGTAGTTATTTGCTATAAATGTACCTATACGTGTGCACGCGAAATGTATAAAATACACGGAGCTTGAAAAGGAAAGAAAAATAATGCCTCGAAAAAACTTATCTGCCAATAAACTCGTTAAAGCTCTGATAAAAAATATTAAAAAATATATCCACATCTGTTACCCAATGTCACGAAACCTCGTATCACACGCGAAGTTAGCTGCGGAGTATGATTAATGTGGAGGTAAGGACTCGTCGTGACTATTTTTTTTTTTTATGTGTTGTAATTGTCATGCACGAACTTACGGAATTTTTTTTTTTTTTTTTTTTTTTTTTTTTTCGTCCCAACTCGATTTTGTACGAATAAAAATAATTTATAGCCCGATAAGGATTCCTAAAGATCTCGTTTATTAATTTTACTAGCAAATATTATATCTCTCGGGGAGTTAGTGGTCCACCAAATCTGTGAGGAAAATGTTGCAAATTGCCAAACTTTGCTTTTTTTTTTTTTTTAAGATTCGTTGAACGAATACAAATGAATCATCATCTCCCACGATTCGTCACGCGATCCGTCTTTTGAGAAGCAATTAACGTTGAAACTCGAAAAAACAAGAAAGCGAGAAAGTTGATTTCTCCTCACTTACCATGTGGTTGTGCATTCACCGCAATAGCAAAATTATTTTAAAGAACATTTTCATTAAAAAAAAAAAAAAAAAAAAGTTGTAATAAAATAACAATAGCAATATTCGGTAGTACAAGGACGGCAAATAATTCGATCTATATTCAACCAACATAATCCAATAGAGAGCCCATAGAATTGAAAAAAAAGCTCTCTCCTGTGAGATCACTTTTAAAAGCCCGAAACCCAACTTTCCAAAAGAAAAAAAAGAATCACTTC